ATCATCGAGGTCACAAGCGTTACCAAAGTGGGTTAATCTCCTCCACCTCCACCTAATCAGTCCACTCGTTCCAAAGGAATAAAGACCAAGGTTAAAAAGGCGAACACTAAACTCATTCCACTGCTCAATTTACGAGCTCAGTCTTCTGTTTGATTAACAGAACAGTATGGCATCAAGGCATATGTGGAGGGTGCTATTATGTAAGTTGTTATGTAAGAAATGAGAAGATGACGTTCCAATGAACAAGCAATGCATTGGCCTATACTTGTGCAAACTTGATGAGGAGTTCAACCCTGACTGGCAATGTCGTGCAATGAAATGCAAACTTCTGAATACCGCCCGCTGAAATGTGCGCGATTTTGACGCTCTTGCATCTAATATTTCTTGCAGAACTCGATTTTTATGTTGACAGGCAATATGCATGATGTCGCTTTCATTTTACTGCGTTGTAAAAACTCATTTATGACGATAGACATTTTGATGTAATGAATATTCATAAATGTGAGCAGCTGTCTGCACACGGATGGTGTTGCAGGAGAGGTTGGTCGGCTTATCGTCGCTTACAATGCTGCAGTGCATGCAGGTAGCAGGAGATATGCGGTCGACCCGTAGCAGACAGAGACCAGACTAAATCGATCCAATTTGCATGGCTACTTTCAGTCACGTTACTTAATGTTTAAAATCAAATTAGAAGTGTGCTCAGAAAGTGGTGACCTTAGTTAGGTGAACGTAGTTTATCTCAGTGACAAAGGAAGCGAAAACCCAGTCCAATTTGTCGCGTCTAAATTGCCAAGGTGTGAGGGTAGAAGGAAAGCATGTCGGTACAAATCCGCAAGTATCCTACATCTGTGGTTGCTGTTTCTGAATATAAGGGGAGAATACTGCTCTTTGCAATGGGAATATCGTGCTCTGATAAAAACCGGGGAAGAATGACGGTGCATCGTAAAGAGGCCAATCAAATTTTGGCTTCGACAAATGGGTTTGCACTGCTGTTATTACACAAATTAGCTTGTACAGGGTTCTCTGGAATGTGTCAATGCATTCTGCAACGTACACTTTTGCCTTATCGCTTTCAAACTATGCTCCAGACAAAAGACGATTCTAACTATTTGGGTACGTTTCTATCTAAATAGCGTGTGTAACCTTCCTGTTATTATGTAACACGATATACAAGCCTGACCGCCATCAGGCACACAGTTTGAGCTTGCATGGATTAGGATTCATAAATATGTTGAAGAAAGGGAATTGCAGATATGTGCGGGACAAATGGTAAACAGAAATTCTAATCTTAGTGGAAAGCACAGTGACATTTCTGGTGACATTGCACCAAATGTTTCCCTTATTTACTACCCAGAGTTTAGATTGATTGCGGCTTGGTTCCACACTTTCCTCCGTTTTGACATTTTTCCCACTGATCTAATAATAGCTATTTGTGATAAAGCTAATGGATGAAATTTCGGTCGCCAATTATTCACAGCATCACTGTCTACTAATCACGCGTCTAAAAATAGCCAGTCGTGAGGCAGTCAATGCATCGCATGGCAGCTACTATATTTCGGTGGTTTTGAAGTTTACTTATCGCGCGTCTAATAATAGCTAACCAATGGAAGCATAGTTAAGGTGTCTATATAAGACAGGGACAGGACATTGTGCCCCAACAGCGACCAGTGATCAAAGTGAGTCACTTTTCAGTTTTTACCACAGAGTTGTTAAAGCTACATTTTATTTCCCTTATCACTCTCCCTTATTTTTACGCATCCTTGCATATCATCTCTTCCTACAGCATGCAGCTCTCATGCGCATTTTAAGGAATGCAGCACTTACATAAATATCTGTTCATAGCTTCAAGGGCGGAATGTGCTGCCCTCTATATCCAAAATGCAAATACAGCATTTGGTG